AAATGTATTTATAAAAATCTTTAAATTGATATTTTAAAATTTTTTAAAATTTATTTTAAATAAAAATTCAAATTAACAAAGTCATGTGATCAGCAAGCATTATATATACGCAGTAAAAATTAATAAATTTAACTATTACACAAAAATCTATCATGGGAATTGCAATCAATTATAAGATCAGCATAATGCATATAATAACTTTTATATTAAAAAAGGCCGGTTGTTAACATTTACATATATACTAATGTCATATTTTAACAGACATAACCTTTTGAAATTTTAATATAAAAATAAGTAAGTATTTTACTTTCTAAATATTAATTTATTAATGCTATTATAACAATAGTTTTAAAGAATCTTCGGTTTGAAATAAAGAAAAAATTTTTTTGTAGCACAGTAAATTATGCTGATTTTAAAGTTTATACACATTTTATTACTAACTAAAGATGTAGCATGCACTTATAAAGTTACACATAACATAAATTCTGATGATAAATATTGAAGCAAACACCTAATTATTATGTTTTGTTTTGATACTTTAATAGTTTAAACTCAAAATTGGTATTTAAAATTTAATTTTAACTATTAACGTTAACGTTAAACAATCAATAAATTGTCTGATTATCATCATAATCAATTAACTAAATTAACTTATCATTTATGCCTTATCTTTTCACATGATACTTAGACAAATTATTCTCTATTTTGTGCATGAAAATTTATTTATAGACGTAATACGAGTCATTATAGAATGAAGTTTTTGTTTCACTTAATATGTTTCACAATTATTTGACATTATTAATTAATCAGATTATCCCAAATATGCAAATTTCTAATCATGAACGCCAATTTCTCATCTTGTGACTATGTGCATTATTTATAAAATAATAATAATTTTTAATGTTAAAAGAATCTCATTGAAAATTTACCTTGATGCAACCTTTGTTTTTTTTTGAATTTTATTTCGATAATTTTATTTCGACAATAATAACATTTGGCTTAGATTAGTTTGTCAGTTAGATTTTTTTTTAGTTTTGTGTCACTAGTATTTTATCATTTATTAAATCAAAAGAAAACTCCTTTTTCAAATAAATTACTAAGCAAAAATAAAATACTTTCCTTATTTTTAATTGTAGTTTTCTTAGTAGATATACTTGCTATTCCTTTTTTTTTTATTGATGATATATATTTAGCCAAGATAATTATTTCATTTTACAAATTCGCATCTTTCGCTATATCCAATATAAACTTACAGGAAACTTTTGACAATTTTGATTATGTTCCTAACGATTATGATGAAGATTTAGAGAGTATAGCTTTTGCTAGAAGTCTCACATCAGAAAGTGTTACCAGAAGCATTGAAAGTGATAATAACAATGATTTATTAAATTATGATATTAAAATGCCTTTTCTTTTTAATAATGACAATTTTGAAAAAGCAAGAGAATTTGTAGAAAAAGATGTAAATAAGGATATATCTTTATTAAAAGATATCAATTATAATACTGATTTCGATACTGAAACTGATATTAACACATCAACTTCAATATTTGATTCAGAATCAACAACGTTAGGATCAACTTATGGAGACAAATATTTTATTAAAAATGCAACAAATGCTAGTGAATCGTTATTAGCATGTCCAATTTTAGATGTTATTGATGGTTCCATCCAATGCTGCTCAAATCATTCAGAAAGGTAGAGACCACTTTCTCAACTAATTGTGCTTGAGAGATCAATCCAAAGATTTTTCAAAAAGCACAAATAAATAATGATTTATCAACAATAGGTGTGTGTCACTCGCATTTCCTTTATGATCAAAATCAACTTCATATTCCACATGTTAAGAATGTACGATCAATTGAAAAAAGTTGGATTTTGTGTAGGCGTTGTTTATTTCGTAACAAATATAAGCATTTTTTTAGTCAGGACGGAACTTTTATATAGCATTTGAGACATGTTTTTGGAAAAAATGTTCAAATTCCTTATGCTAGACTTAGGGTTTGTCCTGTATTTAAACAGAAAATAAAATCAGAAAATATTATTGATAACAGTAATCAAGAATCTGAATACCGACCTAGATACATATGTTCAGAATGTTTTATTACACATGGTGGACATTTTTATGAGCGAAGAGGTCATGGAAATATACTGAATTTTGAATGTACAGATAAGCATAAAAGTGATTCAAGCGAAGCACTTCGAATTATGGGTCGCTGGGTTTTATCTATAGCAGAAATTACCGATAAGAATAAAAAAAATAATCTCTTAGTATATTTAACTTCTATGCTTTTAATGTTTTATGATACCAAATCTTTAATAAATGCAGATTATCCTAGCCTCCTTTTTGTAAAAATAGCTTTAAGGTTAAGGCACTTTAGCATAACAAAACTTATGAATCAAAAATATGAATTCACTTCTGAAACAGCTACACATTTTGGCAAGGAATTGGCAACTGTAATATGGAAAGCATGACATGAAGTACAAAAAAATAAAACCAAACTTAAAAATCCAAGTCATTAATAGATTATCAGGATGGTTTTCCTTTATGTCTAGCAAATTTTTTCAACAGACTTATTAAAACTCTATAAAAAAAAAACATGAAATATTAACAAAAAAAAGAAAGCAAAGAGGTCTTCCATTAAAGAATTTTTGATACAGGCTGTGTGAATAAAATAATTGTATTTTTTATCTCAATGGTATTAAATATTGCATTTCCAGGTATAAACATTTGGTTAACTCATATTATGAGCCCACTTTACAGAAAACCAAAACTATATCACTCTCTTTATAATATACTTTATATAGCGAACATAGTATCTCATACGTATTGACATGAAAGATTGTTAGACAAGGCTTGTCAGCAAGATGTAAAACCTGAAATATTACGAGGTGCAAACATATGTAATGTATCAGTAATCAACAATATAGATTTTATAGAATGAACTTTTTCATATGGAAGTATTTTTGATACCACGTGTAGAAGCATACATGCTACTTTAAGAATGGTGTTTCAATTTAATATGCCTATACAACTTTAATGTTATAATCCAATAGATGTAAGAAGTTCTAGTAGAGATGACCAATCTATATTTGGCACTTCAGCTTTCACAAATAACCTTCTTTCATTTTATGAGAAAATGTTTCAGGATTTTTTAACTATACGCATAGATGACTGGGATGCAGAAAGTATTCTTAAAAACATTGCTCAAAAAATACTATTAGGAAGTAATGTATCACAGCCGAATGTCATTATACTTAAGCCAGGTGACAATCTGAATTGCAATGCAAATGTACATAATGCATGTGATTTATATTATGATGATATAGGAATAAATAACACTGGCTGTCTATATATTGCATGCGATGAAGCCATTTTTCATCGATTAATTTTGTATAAAGAAAACAATAGTGATAAGAAAGTAAGACCCCTTTTAGGTCAATGGCATACTTCTCGTGATATGTGCATTGCATTGGTAAATAATTTCTCGGGTTATGGCATTGTTAATATAGCCAGTGATATACCAAGCATTTGCTGTCCCAGCTATATGTCCCAACTATATGTCCCAACTATGTTCCATATAAGTCCCAAATGTCCCATCTATCCCATCAATGTCCTATCAGTGTCCTATCAGTATCCTAATTATGTCCCATGACAACACTGAATATGGCTGTAAATCTGGGTGTACGATTTCTAGATAAACTAGAAAAAGTTGTAGACTACTAAGCTACATGTTGAGTTTTGGAATTAATTTGAGTCACCGTTGGAATTGCAATATTTAAGTATTTACGTAATAATAATTAAACTATAAATAATATTGAAAGCAGGGATATTAACATTCTTAAAGTTTGGTATCGTTATCTATGTTGGGCTGGTTATTGGATAGGACACAAAATTGGTATTAGACGAGGAAACTATGAAATGCAAATAAAGAATCTTATGGCATTTTCACCTCTATTTCCAGTTGCTGAAAAGGGCAATTATGCCAGGTCAGTCATATATTTTTTGTCATATATCGAAGATGATCCACATTTTCAAGAATTGCTTAAATGTGTTTGTTCAGTAAATCTCATCGGTCTTAGATACTACTTCACATTTGATGAAGCATTGAAAAGGTTTGGCGTCAAGTTTGTAAAACAAAATATTGGAGGAAAGGCAATGAATAATGAAGAATTGAAGTTACAAATAAGCTCCGTGCAGTCAGAAAGAGAGCGATTAGATTTACTAATGTCAGAATATATAAGTGATATAGTTGTAGCTAAAAAAGAACAAGCAGTAAAATCCCGAAAGAAGGTATTATGGCAATTGGCTAATGAGTTACTTTCTGCTTTTTCTTTAATAGATCCAAAAATACATCAGTTTTTTTTAAATGCACAAGAAATAACTTCAATAAGGTTTTCAAAAATATTTATATGCTATGATCTTGGCATAGCCCGACTTATTGCAATTCAACGTCAGAATGTTTATAAAATTGATTCTAGAAATACGCAAAGTCATCGTAAACAAAATATAGTAGTACATAAATTAATGTCTTAATCAGAAAATAAAAAAGAAATAAAAAGACAGCAAACTTTAACAGGTGATCAGATTGAGGATAATGTAATACAAAAATAAGAAAATTCAATTACTGTACATAAACGTCAACATAAACGTACTACAGATAATGAAAAAAAGCTGTTAGAAAATTTGCTCAATTTTGATTCTTTTTCTAAAGATACAGCTATTGAAGTTTTAGAAAAACTTCAAGATCTTTACAATGATTGGGATATGCAACAGGTATGAATTTATTGGAATAATCATCATAAGAAAAAAATTTCTAGTTCTATACTTTCCTAGTATATGGTTTATAGAAACATAAATTTGTTTTTTTATTAATTTTTATTTAAAAAATCATTATATTGTTATTGTTATAAATAAAATTTTTTATTAAAATCATATGACTTTTTTTATTTTTTTAAAATGATTGCATTTGTTTTGTAACCTTAACGTTAATAATTCAAATTCAAATTATTTATTGTTATTGTTATTGTTATTGATATTCTATTAAGAGATGCATTGACCATTTTAAATTTAAAATGAAATATTATATCAATATATATATGTATTATTATTGGCTTTGCAATTTTATTTAGTAACAAAATGTAAGTTTAAAATGCCAATTTTGAGTTTGATATTAAAATACACCAAAATAAGCCACAAAAATTAGATCTAAATCTTATATGGGGTGTGAGCTAGGAAAATGACCTTCTGAGATTAATTTACCATTTTGAGTAAATGATAAACAAAGCTTTT